TTTACTGCATGTCCTACATAGTCACCATTGCATAGCTCATTAAATTTACAATTTTAGAGAGAATTTACAGGGTATCTCAGAATGTGTGCCTCACTATAGACATCTGGTTGACTGCCACATTACAGGCATACGGAATATATATATATATATGTACACACATAAACTAAAAGCACACATCTTTAAAAAAGTCTTGTTTTTTTAAGATATTAACTAAGGACAACACCTCAAACCTAGTAGCTACAATGGCTCTACTTTGTTTCGCATTAGAAAATTCAAAATACACCCTTGGAAGCTCAGTACTGTGTGCAAGTACCAGTAAGTGTGACATGTATACAAGCGTGAAAGCGTGTGTGAAATACACATATTCCCACCTTATAGCTTTGCGACAGAGGTACTACAATAGCCTTTAATTCAGAGTCAAAAACACTTGAGTGGCTCTTTCCCACTGAAGTCATGGAAAAGACGACATATTAACAGAGAAAAGGTATTGTTGTGTTAACTGAAGGTGTGGCCTGGCTTGCCAAAATTAACTCCCCACTGTACACCATGAAGCTGAAGCTTAGGCATTATCCCATAGCAACCACAGACACTTTAGACATTTTTTAGACATCTGAGAAAAAAAAAAAATCACATGAAAACACTTTAAACACAAAGTAGGTCTCTAAATATTCCCTAAATAAGTTTCATAAAGGGAAGCATAGCGCTTGGCATATTTCAGCAGCATTAAAAATGGTAATAGTTCCTTGTGGGAAGATAGAACTCAGTTGTTGAAATGAGCTGTAAAAGAAATTTTTTTTAGACCATATCCTCCTGGTTCAGAACACATGAAAGATCTGGAGTTCAACAGAGTCTGATTTTTATGAAACAAAATAGTGCATCTATCTCCTCTGATGGAATTGATTCAGTTTAGACGTACTGAAGGCATGGTGAAGGGTAAACTGGTTGAAACTCCACTACATCAACAACTACGTTTTATAATCTTTCCAAAATAGATTTCCAACACTTAGGAATGCATTACAGGAATCTACTTTTACAGGAATCCATAGCTTCAGATCTACATCTGCTGCCAGAGGGCACTGGATAACATTAAGAAGTATTTGCTATGATCTGTTATCTTTCAAAGGCCAAGAACTTAGAATCACAGAATAATTTCGGTTGGAAGGGACATCGGGGGTCAATGCAGGTCTAACCAGATCAGGTCACTCGACACCAGTCGAGTCCCAAACACCTCCAAAGATGGAGACTTTACAACTTCTCTGGGCAGTCTGTTTCAGTATCTGACCATCCTCATGGTAAAAAGTGCTTTCCTAACATCTGTTGGAATTTCTCATGTTCCAACTTGTGTCCATTGCCTCTTGTCCTATCATTGTGCACCTCCAAAAATAGCTTGACTCCACGTTCTCTGCATCCTCAGACAAGGTAGCTGTAGGTAGCAAAAAGGTTTCCTCTGAAGTTGTCTGTTCTCCAGGCTGAACAGCCCAGCTTTCGCAGCCTCTCATATGTCATGTGCTCCAGTCCCCTGATCAGCTCAGTCATCCTCTGCTAGGCTTGCTCCAGTACGTCGATATCCTTTGGAGAGCCCAAAACTGGACAGAGTACTCCAGGTGTGGTCTTACAAGCACTGAATAGATAGGAAGGATCACTTCCCCGGGTCTGCTGGCTACACGCTTTCTGATACAGCCCAGGATACGGTTGGCCACCCTTGCTGCCATGGCTCGCTGCTGACTCCCGTTCAGCTTCTTGGTCATTAGGACCCCCAGGATCTTTTCTGCAGACCTGCTTCCAGATAGTCGGTGCCCAGCACGCATTGTTGCATGGGGTTATTCCATCCCAAGGGCAAGAGCTTTTGTTTGCTCTTGTTGACCTTCACGAGGTTCTTGTCAGTCCCTTTCTCCAGCCTGTCCAGGTTCTTCTGAATAGCAGCCCTGCCTCCAACATATTGACTGCTCTTCCAATTTGGTGTCATCACTAAATTTGCAGAGAGTGGTATCCGTCCATCATTCAGGTTGTCGATGACAATATTAAACAGTTTTGGTCCCAATACTGATCCCTAACAGACACAGCTAGCTACTGGCTGCCAGCTGGACTTTGCACCACTGACCATAAGTCTTTCAGCTCAGCAGTTCAGCCAATTATCCACCCACTTTATCCTCCAGTTATCCAGCCCATGTCCCACCAATTTGGTAATAAGGAGGCTGTGGGAGATTCTCAAAGGCCTTGCTAAAAATCAAGGTATACAACACCGACTGTCCTTTCCTTGTCCACAGCACCAGTCACCTTTACGTAGAAAGCAATGAAGTTGGTCAGGCATGATTTGCCCTTGGCAATTTTGTGTTGGCTGTTCCCACTCTCCTTCTTGTCCTTCACTTGTTTAGAAATGGCTTCTAAGAGGATTTGATCCATAACCTTCCCAGGGGCTGAGGTGAGGCTGCCTGGCCTGTAGTTACCTGGATCTTCTTTCTTGCCCTTGATGCTGATGGATGTGACACCTGCCTTTTCCCAGGCATTAGGAATCTCCCCAGACTGCCATGGCCTTTCAAAGACACTAGAGAGTTGCCTAGCAATGACATTGGCCAGCTCTTTCAGTGCCCTCGGATGTACCCCATCTGGCCCAATGGACCTGTGCGTGTCCGAGTGGGTTAAGTGATCCTTGACTCTGTCGTCTTCTACTGTGCATAGACAGACTGCTGAGAGGTTCAGGGACCTTGAGGGGCTCAGGACAAGCCTTACCAGTGAAAAATAAGGTAGAAAAGGTGCTGAAGCTCAGCCTTTCCTAAGGTGAGTACCTCAACTTTTCCTACGTCCCTTGGTGCTAGGTCCTCTGCTCCGCTGAGCAAGCCACTCACACTCTACTTAGTCTTCCTTTTATTGCTGCTCTACTTAAATCTGTGCTGCCCCTCACTTCCCTTGCTAGTTTCAGCTCCAGCTGAGCTTTGGCCTTCCTCACTCATTCCTCTATGTGCGGGCAATGTCTCTGGATTCCTCCCAAGTAGTCTGTCCCTGCTTCCACCTTCTCTGTACTTCCTTTTGCGTTAGAGCTCAGTCAGGAGCTCCATGTTCATCCATGCTGGCCTTCTTCAGCAGTTGTCTTCTGCACATTGGAATGGACTATTCTTGCTCCCTGAGGAGGCTGTCCTTGAAAACTAGCCAGTTCTCCTAGGCCCCTTTGCCCTCCAGGAAAGCTTCCTAGAAGCTCTCCTGCCAAGTAGGCCCCTGAACAGAGCATTTCCCCTAGTTGTTTCACTGATCACCAGCATCAAGAAACTGTCTTAAATGTATTCCAAGAATCTGGATTACTAACACCTAGCTGTATTGCACTTCCAGCAGACGTCAGGGTGGTTAAAATCACCCAAGAGCACAGGGCCTGTGACTGTGAGGCTTTCTCCAGCTGCCTAAAGAAGGCTTCATCTGCCTCCTTTTCTTGGTCAGGAGGTCTGTAGCAGACACCCACTACATCATCACCTGTGCTGGTCTGTAACCCCTTACCTGTGGGTAAGGGCCCACAAGCTCTCTTCTGGTGCATCATCTGTCCCAAGGCAAAGCTCAAGATACTCCTTTGCATAGACCATAACCCTAACGTAGGAGATCTCATATTGGCACCCTGGCAGCATCTTAAGGTACTTGCATCTTGTGTACGTAATTGCATTCAAAGCTGAGAAGGTGCATAACCTTCGTTACTGAAGAGAGCGATGACTGGGCTGGATATTCTGAACTTTAAGTTTGCTCTCATTCTTTGCAGAATGAAGCAACTTTTTGCAAAGAACCTTGAAATTATGAATTCCTGGCACTCTTTAAAACATACCTGCACCATAACTACTCTAGGAAAGGAGTAAGATCTTTTTACTAGAGGAATAAGAGAATGGGAGAGTTTCTACAGAACTGATTTCAGTGCTGTTGAAACACAATTTGTTTTTTTTTTTTTTTAATCATATTAAGGTATAGAGCTCTTATTACTTCTAAACAGAAGAAATTAAAATCTTTAAGGTGAACTACTTATCTAATTATTTGTTGAACTGTTCCTAGAAAGCCACTCATTTTATATATGTGTGTTTTAAAATTTAAAGCAGGAAACAAACAAAACACTCTCTATCAATTTATCTTTCATGACTGGAAGTAGAGATCACTGTTCGCAACACTTGATCCGAATTCATAGTTTTAAACAATCTCCTCCAACTATTTCTTGAACTTTCTTGCACTATATCTAACTTAGAATGTACACCATGGCATTTTTTATGGTAATATAAAGATACACAGTTTTAAGGGGTACAGTTTATAATATGTCAGTAAACAATTAGAAACATTATCAATAGTAAATTTTTGTTTCTTTATTTAAACCTTTTTCCCAGGGAAATATATCATAGGACACAGACATATCTAACATTTTTAAACAAGAAATAGGGTACTTTAATAATGTAGCATTCAATGCAAATGCCAGGTAAATACCTGTCATTATGTACCATGGATCGCAAATCAGCTCTCAACTTAACTTAGTTATTACACCATGCAACAGTTCAAGCTGCAGACTGCTTGACATCTGGCTTTAAAATATCCTGAGGTTTTAGCTGTTATTTACCTCTTTGTAATGGCAGAATTATTACTACTTTAACCAAGTTTTGCTAGAGGCGCTTACTAAAAAACTGAATATGTTTCACATCTTGACTTAATAACACCCTATAGGTATTGTTTACTTGATTTTAGAAGCTTAGCAGAAAATCTCCTGAGTTGTTAGATTATCTAGGTGCAAAACCCAGTGAAAGATAAATAATGGAGGAAAGAGCTCTAAACACCCACCACACCTTCCAAAGTAGATTACCCAAAAAACAAAAACAAACAAACAAAAAAACTTTACCACGAAAAACCCAAACCTTAAAGTTCTTGTTTACAACAAATTCCCTTTAAGCTAAGGATATCTATCTGGCGTTCTAAGGTAATTCACCTGAGCAATTCCTTGAGGTGTAACCTGATTTCTTCAAGCAGGAGATATAGTAGCAATTGCTTACCTGACTCACACGCAAATGTCTTTGATGTCTCATCATGAAAGATAATTGCCACTGCATGCTTCTTTGTCTCTCGAGGCAATCTAGTTATGTTTTTGATATTGTGCAGCTCAGTTACCTTAAAATGAAGAAAAATATTTTAGGCCAGTGCATAAATAGTACAAATAAATATACTGTCTACAACTATTCAACTTTTACTACAATCCTTTGTTTAATGAGGCTATTTAAATTTACAATTTTGCCACTGAAAAAAATACCCAACATATAAATATGTAGCATCTGAAGTTGCAAAACGTTCTATAAAATATAATGTGTCAAAAATGAATGGTTTACTTCTTTAATGGTTTACTTCTCTGCATGAAAACATAGTCTTGTGATGCACCTATAATAGATTTTCCAATTTCTATATTCACACAAGTTTGATCTGTTTCATAATCTGCATCAAGTATGCACAGAGAGTAGAAATAGCAATGTCTTATTAGGTAAGGGAAGTAACCCAATTATCATGTCGATTATTGTCACTACAATTGTACAGATACAAGCTTTGCTGTCTTTAAAGTGGAATTGTCATCGTTGTCAGAACTTAAAATTTTATTTTCCAAATAGTTCAAAAGCTTATCAAGAAAAAGTTGTTCATATTATAGCGAACACACAGTATAAGCAATACTTCTATTTCTAGCTTCCTTTGATGCAAGTAGATAACCACAATTAACACAAATGAAAGAAAAATATGATTTTTCAAGTAGAGCTGGAAGCACAGCCTATTTTAAGCTGTTTAACACTTCTCATTATGAAACCTTTCCCAGTTCCATAAGTCACTTTATGCTTAGTGGGGCTGCCAGCTGCAGTCCCAAGAGAGGAGCAAGCAGCACAGGTACCACTGTTCTATTAAGGGAACAACTAAAATCGCTGTCCATTTTCCTAGGCCTAGGCATGGTAAATGGGCTAGTATATGAAACAGCTCCTATTGCTTCCCAAAAGCTGCCACCCCAAGGAAATACTGTGAAAGGAATAAGAAAGCATTCATAGGTAGAGCAAGAGAGAGCAGACCCTAGAATTCAAAAACTGAGCGGAATAAAACAAAATCCAGAAATCATACTGAATTCTGAAGATTCAGAAGGGTGCTATGTAGGAGACAGGGAAGACATGGATCTGGTGGGTTTGCTAAATAAGAAGAGGATATAAGAGCAAAAGAATTTTGGATTTGGGATAGAAAAATAGCATCTTTAAATAATTTAAAGATACATATAGCTTCTAATTAAAAATTTTGAAAAGATAACTGACAGTACAATATAAAAGGAAGAAAAAGGAAGAAAAAGAAAGGAATCAGTAATTCTAACCTAAGTAAATGAAACAGTGGTATCTGTGTGTGTGTGTGTCTCACAATGTGGAAAATATGCAGAAAAAAATTAAATATTTTAAATATTTAAGTATTCTTCAGTTAAAAGAGGAAATATTCTTAAATTAAGGCTTACATATTCTTAAGGGTTAAATATTCTTAAGTTAACAGGGGAAATTTCTCTCTCTGGAATAGCAGAAAAGGAAATATAATATAAATGCTTTGAACAGCGACATCAGGATATAGCCTTTTTCCAATCTCTCTCAGGCAGTACAGAACTATTATTTTCTTTAGCATTTGAGGTTTACAGATTACCAGAATATCCTGCAATGCTGATAAGCTTGATTATAGATCCCAACCCATTCTTTGCACCAAGATTACATAATTTTCATAGTAATTTTTTTTTGCAGACTTGCTAACTACAGGCAACAGGGGACACCTATCTAGCCACCTATAAAGATGATTTTAACCAGTCCTCTTGTTAGTCATTATATTAAGCCTGTATTACTCAATATATTGGCAGAATATTTTCTATGCAAGATCATTCACATACTTGGAAATAATGTCAGTGAACAAAGAATAGGCTTTTATTTGCTCGTGAGAAACTCAGTTGGAAAGAGGCTATGAAAACAGCACCAAATTTTGACACCCTGCTTTTGAGTACCCACACAAGTGATTTGGTAGAACAAAATGCAAATGCAAGTGTGTGGGGGAAATAATCTCATTTTCTCCCTTGACAGAATAGAACATTTTATAACGGCTGTTTGACAGGCAAAGAGTTATGTGAATTACCCGCTCTAATGTCGTCAACTTTTAGTTTTTTATATATATGTGTGTGTGTGCGCGCGCGTGTGTGTGTTTGTATACATGTATATATACACATACACACACACACATATATATAATCTTTTTATATATACCTTATTTCTGCCAGTTAAGAAGTTTTTAATATACACCTTTCATCTTGAAATAATTCACTTTCCAAATACTAAATGCATTCTACAATATTGTTTTAGTCATGACGACTACAAAACATCATGAGGTTTTGGAGACGGCTATGAAGACAGGATTTTGTAGAGATGTTTGTTAAGAAAAGTAATTAATTTTATTGGGTAAACTAACAGAAATAAATAAAGAGAAAAAATAACTAAGCTTTAGGAGACAATCTCATCATCAAGTCTGAGAAAGCAATGAATTTCAAACCAATGACAAGTTAAAGCAGCAGTTCTGGTTTTACCTATTGAGCAAGTGAACATGTTGACATAAAAAAAGACAATTGAAAGTAAAGGGAGAGGTGATGCTACCAAAGAAGCCCTTCAGTATTTCTACGGAGTGCTTAATTTTTAATGTCCAGTAGAAGTATGAACTTTCGCTTCTACATTCATCTTTTGAAATTGTACGGTATGCCTCCTTTCATAATCAGGGCACAGACACAGGAGTAATCATCCCCTGAAAGTTTTTTCTCTCATTGGCAGAGAGAACTGAAGTTATTTAGGATTCTGTTTTTAACATCACGGGTGCGTGAGTCATTTTTCTAACCTCTGAACATTTGTAATTAAAAAGTAATAAACATCTGAGAGTTTATATTATATTGTATATAGGAATGAGAAACAAACTTTGGTTAGACAAAGTGCCTTTTTCCATATTTTTAAAAAATTGTTTTTAATTTTGATCTATTCTTAAAAAAAAAAAAACTTCACTTTTTAAAATGGAAACTGCATCAACTTATACTTCTACCCAAAAATTACAGAAAAAGACAAAATAAACCCCCAAAGATATCATAATTTTTTTGAAAGAACATAAAGCATCTCTGTTCAACTTTTAAAAAGGATTTAAAAGACTTTTCCAGTTGAAAATTTATCAAAAAACTCTTTCTCTATGAAAAATGACTTGAGATAATCAACTTTTTAAAGCAGAGATTGTTATATCAAACATATATTTGTTCATTGTGCTATCCTAACAGTCTTGCTGACAAGATATACACTAATTCATTGGAAATATTGCTGCTCTTCACAACAAAAAGACAGTATTCCGGAAATATGTAAACCACTGATTACCTTGTATGAGTAAGAAGAGAAGCATAAAAAGAGAATTTAATGTGCTAACGTGCAGACGTAAGAATGTTACCCAGACTTCCAACAAATTAGATCAAATTATTTCCATGGTAATATTAAACTTTGCCTAAATCTTTGGTAATATTATTTTTAAAAAAATTGAAAAACTGTTCCCTATCCCCTTCCCATTACATCCTCCTAGAACAAAGGAAGAATGAACTTAAATAAACAAATAAAAAGCCCCCTAATATTACCTTTTCTATGAGTAATCTTGCAAATAGATTTCTTGCCTACCCTTATCTTTTATGATTCTGTCAGTGAGCAAGAGGAATACTTCTGTATTAAGCTACAATTATATAGTTTACAACTTTTTAAAAATTTTAATAAGTTAACCTAGAGCTGCTTTTCTCTGCTAGACGCTGGCACTATCACTTAGTGCAGTACTCCATATGGTGCTCAGTGCGGTACACGTTAGGGATTCTTAGCACCTGGCCCTTTTCTCAATTCTCCTACTCCTCATCAGTAATTCCTGCCTCATATGTCCATCACTCAGCATCCCACACGTTTGTTTCTTTTTTTTTTCCCTACTTAAAGACTGGTACAGGGGAAAAAAAAAGATCAAAAGACTGAAACTATTTTACTTTTTTTTTTTCACTTGAAAATGAACAATGGTTTAAGGAAATAATATTGTGAATAGTTACTTAATCTATATGTAAAAAAACTTCTTTGCCAAGTATTTTTTTAGTTCACTTTTTATCTAAAAAGTTTTTCATTGTATGTGACTTTTTTGATGCAACTGTAACAGAGACATCCAGCTCTTACTTCTGGTTAAGATCTGGTGAAAGGACATAAACTTAAAGGGCCATAAGGTAGGGGAAATTCCTGGATGGGTGAAGATACCATCCCATTCCTCCAATACAAAAATTAGTCTATGCTATGCTTGGTGTTGCAAATGCTTGCATCTGGGTCTCTAGACTAAGCTTCTGCAGCTTGCTTCCTCTTACCGCTAGGAATTTAGATTACCTGGAAGTCTCCAGAAAATCCAAAAGTTGACGTTCCCACATCAACACAGCTAATCACAAGGATAGCCTTAGGAAAAGAAACACGCTTGATCTGCACACCAAATTGTTTGGCAGCTCCCAGACTGTTCAACAAAGCTGCTTTACAAAGGAATGTCAAGCACTAAATGAGAATGCAAAAGAGGCTATAGTTAGTCTTCTGCTGCTCATATATTTAGAGCACTTAAGAATCATCCAAAGATTGCTATAAGTAATGCAATGCACTCCCTCCCATCCTCAGTCTTATTGTTTATCTTGGTCTGCAGATGGGCACACACCTCATATTTTTCTGTTTTGGTATAGCAACTTATCTAAAAAGGGCATTACTTTAACAGTTTCTCCTTGCTTCTTCTATGTAAATATATATATGAAATAATAAAATCAATAATCATTGACACCTTGTAAACTGTGTTTAGCCGCATCTTGATGAATCAGTCATCAAAGAAAAAAAAACCTTCTCTCTACACTACTATGACTGCATAAAAAAAGTTTCTACAAACTTTTTCCAAAGAAAATACAGAACAAAATATAGAACAATACACCAAGATGACTGTCAGAAGAAAGTATGAAAAGTGAGAGGAAATCAGTAGTTAATAAATCTCATGCTACATATTCACAAAGATTAAGGGATCAGAGGAAAAAGAAATTTCTAAGTCCTCACTTACAA